TATTCTTTCTTTTCTTCTCCTGCTGCTCTTTGCATTTTGTCTTCTCATCTTTTGAATATTTCATCCAGCAGCTGAGAGCTTTACATGAGTCTTTAATATGAATCTCTAACATTAATATTTATGTTATGATAATCTGCTGAGCTGAAGGACAAACTGAAGGAGAAGAGATCACATGATCTTTATTATCTTTATCATCATACTTATTGTCATGAAGTCGTTCTTCTCTGTGATCCAGCTGAAAGTTCCTCCGTCAGGTGACAGAAACATGAAATCCCTGCAGGAATGTTCTGGTTTCTGATGGAGAGATTAAAATGTGTGAAACCTCCTGCTGTTAGCTTGGGCTAACGGCTCCCCTTGGTTTCTATGAGGAATGCTCACAATGCTAAGAGGCACATCAGCTGGAAAACAGAACTGAAACAAACTGTTTCTCTAAATTTTAGCTGCAGAAACACTGTTTATTGATAAACTTGGTTTGTTAGAGCTGATTGGAGCCTCTCGATGAGCTTCACCTGGACTCTACCTGAAGACTCCACCTGTCTGTCTCCCTCCAGCTGTTCATCTTCCGGGCGATCAGAGTCGAGGCCGTGGACTTCACTCAGTGTGCGACTCACGGCAGCTTCAGCCGCCGCTGGCAGGAAACCGTGTACAACATGTTCCACTTCACCACACTGTATGTCGTCCCCCTGCTGGTGATGAGCTGCTCCTACAGCCGCATCCTGCTGCACATCCACCTGCAGCACCTGAGAGACAAAGGTGAGACACACCTCTAACACATCTGTAACACCAGTAACACACCTGTAATACCTGTAACATACCTGTAACACACCTGTAGCCTACTTGTATCGTACCTTTACATCATGCTGCACATTCATCAGCAGCACCTGAAAGCTAAGACACACCTGTAACACACCTGTAACACACTGACAGTGTGACATCACCAACGATGCCCCTCCCTCTCCCTTTCCCTGTCTCAGCAGGTGAGTCGTACCTGCGGCGCAGCGGCACCGACATCATCCCGAAAGCCCGGATGAAGACTCTGAAGATGACGGTGGTCATCGTCTTGTCCTTCGTGGTGTGCTGGACTCCGTACTACCTGCTGGGGATCTGGTACTGGTTCCAGCCCGACATGCTGCGCGTCACACCTGAGTACGTGCACCACGGCCTCTTCGTGTTCGGGAACCTGAACACCTGCTGCGACCCGGTGATCTACGGCTTCTACACACCGTCCTTCAGGGCCGACCTCGCCTCGTGCTGCCGTGGCACGAAGAGCGACGCTTCGCCGAGATCTCCGGACCGACCGTCTGCCGGGCCGAGTCCTCGCAGCGCAGAGCAGAAGGCGGAGCCTGCCACCAACAACCAGGCAGGAGACTGCCACCGACCAATCGGAGAGCAGGAGTTAATGATGAAAACCTGAACTGGATCAGCTGAAGGTGGATCAGGACTCTGAAAAAATCACTTCCTGCAGCTTTGAAAGGACGAAAACGTTTTTATTGTGATTCTGTTGGAAATAGTTCAATTCATCTAGTTTTACAGTCTCACACACACACACACACACACACACACACACACACA